ACTGGAGTTGCGGATCTATCTATCTGAGTATCTTCTCCCGGTTCGGAGGTTGATTGCAACATCTCTCCATTTCATTCTATCTTCTGCCATTCTGGTGCACTCTTGCAGTTTTAGTCCACTCCAGTTCTTGACATTCTCTTCCCAGTTGATTCTGGGTCTCCCTCTAGGTCTACTTCCTTCCACTCTTCCTTCTAATACATCCTTTAAGAGGCTTTGGTGCCTTTTAACATGACCAGTTGCGGATAGGGTGGATAAGTTTTAGATGTGGGGGGGGGGGGGGGGGGTAGATGAGTAATGCCGAAATTACACTATCATCGGACTCATACGCTTCACATCAATTTAATATTTAGTTGATGCCAAAATAATTGTGGGAGACCCCCTCCATTTACCTCCCCCTTACAGGAGGCCATACGAATGCTTTAAAAAAAGTAGGCATTATACGTGTAGGTGATATGCGCTAGACTTATACGTTACTTGCGGTTGTTTTTTAATCATTTAAACAAATCAGAAAAGACGTACTTTTTAGGATATTGATTGAATAAAAACATTCATGTTGAAAGAAAAAAAATTGATCTTATTTTTTTTTTATTCATAATTGATTACATGTATGTTTGCAATGCAACAAAATGTAGATTTCAAAAAATTACATTAAATAATATACCGGTAGATGTAACGATAGAACTCCTTATTTGCCTTATATCTCGCAGTATTATCATACAATGTCATATTACCCATAGCCAATTCTATCAACATTTGCTTCAATCTGGTGACACGATCTTAGGCTTCAATGCACCTTAGATATTGCAGGAGGCTTTCGAATCAGGAAGCATGATTTCGTGCTCTCGAAGAAGCTGAAGACACAAAAGAAATCGAGATCTCTCAGATTAAAATCGGATTTGGGAGAGGGTTTCCTGTTTTCCAAAGTTGATACGCTCGAGCTGATGAGTCGCTGAAAATGATACACACCAATAACATGACTAAAACATGACTTGCTCATTAGCACGTCATAAAGATTAACAGTCATGTAATATTATTATGTGAATTATTCGAAGGTCCATGATTGTTATTGAATTATATTGCACGGAAAGTTGTGGGTGCTCGTTGTAGGATTCTCCTATTATATTGAGCAAGAACATTTGTGTCTGTTTATTTAATAGGACTTAAACTCTGAACAAACGTATAGAAAGTAACAAGTCTATCCAGTATAATGAATATGTTCTCTAATCAATACAATAATAACAGTGGCTAATTTTGTATGTATTTTTTCCCCAACCACGATTATATTTGACTAGAGTTTGAAGGGGAAAACATCGACTAGAAGAAGTTGGTCAGACATTGCCTTCTTGTTGTGCAATATTTTACCATTCATTTTCATTGTACAATGCACAGCGTAGATGAAGAAAGCGGGAATGGGAACAAGAAGGGATGGAAGGAATTACGGTTGAAAATTGTGATCAAATGAGACCGAGTTATAAGCGAATTTTATAGGAGAAAAGGAAGAAATTAAATAATAAAATGGACTTCATTTTATGAACTCTACTAGAAGTAGTTCCTCGGAAGTAGGTCTATAATGCAAGGGCCCGAAATTCGGTTGAATAAATTTTCCTGGGCGTTCGGCTACTTACAGTGACGTCACAATACAGTATTGTTAAAAATGGTGTCTCAGAAACAAATCCCCGTACCATTCAAGGCTTTCGCCCACCTCTTCAAACTGCCATCTGTATTGTTCTGTAATGGGAAGGAACTTTCCAATCGATCGACCATTGTGACGTAGGGATGACCTCATCGGGTTTAAAGTAGACTTACTCAGTACGGTCTACATCTTTCCAAATGGATGAAATGAGGATATCCCCTTTTTCTTTCAAAAGCAGGACAACTAAGCCCCTTTCCCCCACTCATTATTCAGGGCGGGGGCCAAGAGGGGGTGGACAATGCTTCAAGGGCGTTTTAATTGTAATCTATTCAAGAATCTCGATCTATAATAGAGCTTCGATCTGCAGACACTGCTTTGCACCGCTTGTTACCAGTTGAATTTTCTCACGTTTGTACTGAAAGGTGAATTAACATTTGTCGATGCATAGATGACACACGAGTGATATTGATGTGTTTGTTTAGTGCATCAAGAGGGGGGGGGGGGGGGGAGCTATCAATATTCCAACCAATTTTGAAAACCTCAGAAAAATAAAATATGGGTGTAGATATAGGCCTTATTATTTACATTCTTACCCACACACAAAAAATCTTATATCTTATATCTATACCATTACATTCTTTTTACTCGAAGTTTATTATTTTCCCCCCTTTTTTTCCTTGCCCACGTCTGTCTTTTATTTGATAAAATAATGACTTGGATGTCAATTCGCATGAGTTGAAATGGGATAATTAATTTGGTATTGAATTAACCTATCCGTCAAATTAACCGACCAATTAATCAATCAATCAGTAAATCAATCGAGCAATCAAACAGTCAGCCAGTCAATCAATCAGGCAAATCACTCAAAACGATGTTGACGCTATATTCCTTCATTTAATTTCAACTTCCTTGTATCTACTTATGCTTCTCCGTAAGATATAAGTATTAATGCCCGGACTCGTCTACGCCTACATTAATTTCTGACTTTTTCAGTGAGTACAACTACAATAAACCAGGATAACAAAATTGTGTTCATAAGTTTATCTAATCGTACTGTTTCGCTATATGATCAAATCCCCTCTCCTCCTGTCACCCACACGCCCTATCTATCCTCATCTATCTCCTATCTCGCTCTCTCTTTCTTCTTCCTCTTCCTCTCTCTCTCTCTCTCTTCTCTTTATTGTGTCTCAACCACCCCACTAACTTTTAATCATTCTCTCTCTCTCTCTTTTTTTGTCTCTCTCACTCTCTCTCCCCTTCTCTCTCTCTCTCTCTCCCTCTCTCTCTACTTCTCTCTCTCTCATTCTCTCTTCTGTTTCTCTATCCCCTCTCTTCTCGTTCTCTCTTTCCTCTCTCTATCATCTCTCTATTCCCCCATCTCTCTCACACACACGACTCGCCCCTCTCACTCTATCTCATTTTCTCTTGGTTTGTTAACATATCACATAGTATGAATAATTGATTACACTTGACTCTTGTTTATACATCGATATCAACATTTTAATCAATGAAAAATATTACATCAAAATCTCGATTCATAATTTGCGAAATACAGTACAATTTGCTTATTTACAACGCTTGTATAGCAAGATAAATTTAGATTAAGCTATTTACAAACTCATGCGATATAAAGTCATAATTACTGAATGCAATGTCGACATCGCATTCAGTTATCATGAAAGATACATTAAACAAATTCTTAACGTATCTTTCATTGTGCAAATGATAGAACATTAAAAACAAAGCGTTTTGGTATATAACAACCGTAAGAGCGCTATACAATGTCATTATCGTTATCATAACATACATTATCCATTACAAATTAAGAATTCATCTTCAACGACAATATCAATAAAAAAGACACATTTAAAATCATGGATTAAACATATTAAAGTAATGAAATGCGAGTATATGTATAATGATGAATTTTAGGAAAGGAAAGCATGAGTTGTTGGATGTAAAACGAAGATGAAACATCGTGGCACCGTTGACGGACAATATGGTATTGTGATGTCATAGTAATAATTATCACGATAAGCTATCAAATTGATCAGTATATCGGTGATGATCATGGTGAATGATGGGTAAATACCTAACGATTTCATACACTTAGAATATGGATAAAACGAATGTAAATTACCCTCCAATGATACCACTCATATAACATCTAATCAAAATGTGATTAAGCGAACAATGATGACGACAATGTCGTCTAATAATCTTCAAGCAGGAACTATGAAACTAAAACGAAAAAGAACAAAATATTTGTTGAAATAGGACCTAGATAACTAACATGTAAAATGTCTGTTATTGATCATTTTTTTGCGTAAGGATGAGATTTACAATATGATCTTCTGAATATATCAAATTTACAATAAACAAATGGATGAAGTCACCATATAAATGTTCCTAATAGACTAAAGTCAGAAATAACTACCCACACACAAAGAACATGTAGAAAACACGTATGAATCACACAACTTTTTTTTTGTCAGAATACAAAAGTTCAGGAGTCAAACACAAGTCAAGCCTGCTCAACTGTTTGTATTTTGTGTGGTTAATTCTGTCATCATTCTACTTTCATGTTTCATCTATATCATCTTTTGTCTAGGGACCTGGATACATCCAGGCTACTGCTTTGTCGGGAAACCACCCTGGGCAAAAAATAAGGTAGCCTTTAAATATTGTGTGAGCAAGACAAAAAGAAAAAAAAGAGTTTGAATGAAGAATGTTACACACTGACATATTCACACAAACACCCAATTGATTAATGTCCCCACAAAAATATGACAAAGTGTATGTGTGTGCGTGTGTCATCCGTCGAAATCATTTTACCGTGGTGGGGTCGAAAGAAAGAGAGAGAGAGTGAGAGAGAGAGAGAGGGAGAGAGAAATAAATTGAGAAAGAGACAGGGGAAAGTTGGGGGAGAGGTGGAAAGGTGAACGTGACAGCTGTTAGACAACACTCAAACCAAACCACATAAGTCATTTTTAGCAACTAAAACAGAAGGAAGTTAGCGACCATCTCATGACGAATTTTAGCAATTGTTATGCAATATACCTCCGGGCCCCTTGTGCTATGTCAAGTCATGATGACGATACGATTTAAGATTATAAACATAGTTGTCTGTTGGTACGATGAAGGGTAAGAGGAAGGGGGAGGCATAAGATTGAACAACGTGACTCTTTTTTTTCCAAGTATATTTCTGTTATGAAACAGGTGAGACACCCGTTGAAATGTCGCGAAAATGCCTCATCGGAAGAAAAAAGCTTTTGCTTGAAAAGTTAAAAATATTGTTGCGTTTCATCAATCAGGACATAGCATTATCTATCTGTTTTGTATATACCTATCAATAATATTTTTTTCCTTCAAAAATGAGTTAATGTTTTGGAACTAACCTCGAGATTTAAAGAAATCCAATATGTTCTGATCCATTATCACAATGACGAACATGCCAAGAAACCATTCAAGCCTATTTCCTCCCCGTCATTTGGCAGTAAAAGAGTCATTGTTTGAGGATGTAATATCTTGCCCCCAAAAGAAAGTTCTTTGCTGTGTTACGAAAAATAAGATGACTTATTACATCCATCATTAATGAGGGAACTGTTTCCTCCCATTAAGGAGCAAAAATTAAGAGGTACAGCTACACCTTTCTTGTATTCGTCTGTCAAAAAAAAAATCGTATTTTGTGTACCACTCTTCAGGCAATTAGAATCAGTTCTTTTGTTTTGACGCCTTGTATCAAATAGGCCAAGAGTAATAGATTTTCGATATGATATAGAGCAAGGTATGAATTCGAAGCAATGCTATAGATACGTAACTGCAAATTACCTATCTAGTATCTCATCTTTGATCAAATTCTTCTCTGACTATACAGTGATGAGATATCAGTCATCAAAATCACGATGATTAACTTACAACGTTAATCAACGATGTATACAAATTGATCATGTCCACGTGTAACGTTTGTTAATGAAAGGAACAATTTGTCAAAACAGCTTCTATAGACTAACTAATCAATGATTAACTATAAAAAGAGCAGCTTAGAATATTGATAAAAAATACATTTTGTATACAATACTCTCTACTGCATTCGGTTACCCTGTATAGATAATGATGAGCGGATGATAATAGAAGATATTGATTTATTACTGTGAGAGTTTAAAGGAAAATGGAAGATCTGATAACGCTCACAAATGTATTGGGTAATATTTCTAAAGAAAGGCTTGATTTTTTTTCTTCAAAACTCGTCATATCATACGACTGATACTAAATGATATTGTGTTGCATGATAAATCAATGCCCCAGTCATACCAACTGGACCGACACCAGAACGACAAGTGACAGATTTTGTTTTCTTCAATACTCCGAAAGGCCAAGAATGAATCGGTTTGGATTAGGTGAGGAGTCGACTTCGCAGTGTGACTGGGATATATCAACTCAGTCACAGCGCAAAACCTTCTCCACACTAACTGCAAACAGAACGATATAACTGGCGAGCAGATGTAATGCATTTTGGTTCGTTCTGTTATCGATCCTATGTCGGTCTCGTCAATGTGACTGGGGTATAAACAATTAGACCACAGGGCAACACCCTGTGCACAGGAAACTAATACGTCTCGAACTGGAAGCTCATTTCTTCTAAAAGAAGCAGATAACATTCTTCATCTTTTGAAATAAGGCAGAGTACAATTAATTGAAATATTGCCATTGTTCGATTAGAGAATTGAATCGGACATTCCGTGGTTATCGAGACCATTACTGAGCATATCATTGGCAGTGAGTGGCCTTGTGTCGGCGTTTCCGTTGTTCTTGTTACCTCTCCCAACGTTGTTGCTACCATTCTGTTGCGCATTAGACGGATTTTCATCTCCAATGTTGATAAGGTCTTGCGTTGACGTTCCCTTCCCGAAAGCAGCGAAAGTCGGATCGGATGCGGTTGTCCTGTTGGCGGGAACCTCAAACGGATCAAGTCGGATCGGTTTGGAGGTTCGCTTGGATAGTTCGGTTAGTTCCTCGACGTCGTGCCCACCGCCGCGTCGATTCCTCGACGTCAGGACGCAGACGATAGCCGCGACGATGAAGATGAGGAGGAGACCACCGACCGCGGCGATTCCCATGATAACTGGGAGTGTGAAGAATGCGGCGATGGCGCTAGTCGGACCTGACGCAACTGGCGTTGTCGGAGCGCCTGTTGACGCGGCTGTTGACGCGGCTGTTGACGCAGCTGTTGACGGATCTTGTGGTTGCACATTCGTAGGTTGTTGAGGGAACATGGTTTGTTGCGGGAAGAGAGTTGTCAGTGGATTCCACCATTGGACCGTTGACACAGTGCGTTGAACGATGGTGGGATTAACGGGCTGCATGGTTCCTGTAGTGTTGTCTGATCCGGCCGTCGTATTAGCGCCTTCCTGCATCGTTGTTGACGGCAGCGTCGTATTCTGTGGTTGTTGAGTTGTGTTCAGACTGGTTGTGTTCGTCCGCAACAAAGGCGCTTGTGTGGTGAATTGTTGAGTAGTGTTTGCTGCTGCCGTAGTATTCATTGTCGGACCGGCAGTCGTTCCGAACGTCGTGTTACCAACAGCTTGAGTAGCCGTCACATTGGTTGAAGGTGGAGTCGTTGTCATGTTACCTTGCTGGCTTGTCGCATTCAGTGTCGTATTCACCAACATGCTAGGCGTAGCTGTTACGTTCATTGGAGCAAATTCTGTCGCATTTAAAGCCGCCGTCGGCCCTCCCATGGTCGACATCGTTGTTTGCATCACCGTAGTCGGCATGTCCGTGGTCGGCGGGGGATCGAATGTTAGCAACGCTTTCCTCGTTGAGATGATAGCTCCATTAATACTTAGGGAACAGATGAATGGGTTTTCGACGGTTCTGTTCGAAACGTCCGTGATGTAGATGGTCGCCGATTGCCCGGTAGGTGTCGTCTCAGTGACGTAGTTCTCTGTCACAGTTTCATGAAGAAACCACTGCAGCTCCGTCCCGGGTAGCGTAGTTTGGCATTCGATGCTAGCATTTGCACCCATCGTCACCGACACCAAAGGGTTGGTAACGAAGAAATACTCGTCGACGGGATTGTCGACGACGACGATTTGCCCGAGGCTGCAGTTCCGCTCAACCTTATCTAAGCACTCGGGATCAGGGCAGATAGCGATACAGGTCATTATCTTTCCATTCTCATCGGTGGTGGCGTTGAGAGACGACATGATACTTTTCAGTTCGCTGTTGGTCGTGTTCGAAGTGGTGGGCGCCGGCGTGATCGTGCCGTACTGTGAGCTTTCCCAGGCGAGATCCCATACGGGAAAACCAGGCTCTGTCTCGCAGATGAACTCGAGCATGTCTCCAGCCATCACAAGGGTACTACCTCCCGTCACCCGACACTCCGGATAGGTCGACGCCGGCTCGTATCCGAAAGAAACGATCTCGGTCGATATCGGGTTCATACCCGTCGTCGGTCGGCAGGAGTACGTTCCCGCATCGGCCATGGTCAAGTTCGTGATGGTCAGGTTATAGACCCCGCAGTCCGGGTTCGCATTATTGGCGCTGATCGTAAACCTCGACACGGCGCTCGCTGAAATGGCGGCGTCAACGGAGAGGAGATCGTCAGCGGGGCTCACCCACGATATCGTTTGTCCATTAGCACCCGACACATAGCAGGAAAGGGACACACTCCCTCCTGCTATTACTAGCTCGCTACTTATATTTGTACTTATTCCATTCTCGACACACTGAGCATTCCCACTTGTTACAGCGTAGAGTGAGAAATAAAGCGCCGTGATGTAAAGCGCTGCATGAGCAGCGAGTTTGGTAATCATGGTTGGTTCCTCAGAGTATTTTCCAAGTTCGTCAAAATTAGCACAATATTGAAATCCCGCCTCCCGGTTGAAATAGTCTAAGTTTTCTCCAGTAAATCCAGGAGGAAACACAGAAATAAAACTCTTTGATTCAGGAATAAAGTGCACACTTCAACACTTCCAGATTCAACAGTAATTGTCCTGTTTCAAATTTATTCTCATCGGTAAAATGATCGTTTTTCTAGAGAGCGAATCATGTACAAGTCCTCCCAAAACTCTTAAGATAAAATCCAGCACTTGTTATCTTCTCCGGAACACAAACGAAACCGCTCCAAATCGAATTCTGTACAAACTATACACAATGTGAAGAAAATGTCTCTGAGATAGTTTCCTGACGCTTGACAATATTTCTGAAAAGGTCCCTGTCGCCTCAAATGTGCGGGGAGTTAATGAGAACAGCGTGTGCTTCCACCGACGAGAGCTGAGCAAAATGGCTTAATGATTTATTTCACCCTCGGCGGGTCATTATAAAGCGCACGGTTAAGTCAGCAAAGTATTACTCATCGCGAAACGCTCGAAGAAACAATCTTGTTACCCCCTTTTCGATAAGCTCCTTATGGTGCTCTCCGCGCTGTTACCCCTCCCCTTATTGAAAGAGACTGACTCACTCTCTGCAAGGGTAACTTTGCAAGCAAATTTGGGGCGCCCTTGACAGCCTTATTGCGTTATATAATGTTTTTCCTGTAACTATGATTTACTTTTCGAAGTCTATAATGTGTTTTATATGCTACAGTGTCTTTCTCTCTGCCCCCTCTCTCTACGACATATTCTCTCTCTCTCACTAACGTGTCTGATATGAAAATATCTAGACGGAAATGTTTCAATGCTTTATTCAAATTACACTCAGTATAAAATAAATTCGAATGAAAATACAGATCTAACTTGTTTAAGCAAGAGTTGCTTAAATTTTGTCTTAAGTTGGTATTTCTGTAGGTTTTTCCACTACATATTTTTAACCAACTTTTTGTCCATTTAGGGAATGTTAATGTTGAAAGTGCGTTCGAGCTTTCACTTTTAATTTTACTCATACATCTATATGCCAAGAAATATCACCATATTATCACACCATTAATACCACTTATCATTTATTTATTATCATTATTATTTTTCAATTTATTTGTTATTGAAACCATTCACCAGTCATCTAGACAAATAATAGTCCGGTAAATCTAGAACATATTTAGATTGTCAACATAATGTACTTATCTCTTTTTCTTTACATTCCTACATAACGTAATCAATCAATCATCAAATGTCTCTACGTCTATCTACCTGGGGTGTTTCACAAAGATCCTAAGTAGAACTTAACTCTAAGTTGGACTTAAAAATTATGGACAGCCATTGGAGTCTTAAAATGAAATATATTCAAAAGCAGAAATTCAAGTATTTTAAACTTTTTATAAATTCCACATCCAGAACATGAAATCTCCTTGATGATAGAAAATATGAATGATTTGAATAAACAATTAATGCCTTTCAAAATAACTTTTACAAAATATTTTCAAAGATGCTAATGGCTTTCCATAATTTTTTAGTCCAACTTAGAGATAAGTTCAACTTAGGATCTTTGTGAAACACCCCCCTGGTATATATCTATCTATCTATACATCTAACTGTCTGTCTGTCTGTAGAAATCTTTACTGTCTATCCACCAATATATCTAAACGCTTGCTTTAGTCACTTACCGTCTACTTCAGTAGCCACCCACTATAATGTGTTTCCAATTATTTGGGTCGGTTATACTGGAAATTGCCAATTTTGTACAGACATATCTGATGAAATATGTTTAGAATTAAGTGTCTTGGCCATCTACACCAATCGAAGAAAATGCAGACAATAGCCAAGAACATTATCAATTAAAAGTATATATCAATTTCTTAACGAAGATGAACAAGTATTCGTTTCTCTGTTACGCGATATGTCTTCTTTACACTTGGGCATATTCCAGAAGCTCAGAGTATACATGTATAGCTCCTATCAGCTTATCGCTGTCTTCTATTGTTCGCAAGTTTAACAATGTGCTCGAATGGATTGCCTAAAATGGAAGTCGATTCATGAACGTTAATACGTTAAAGATTCCCAGAAGATCAAACAATGCATACAACAAGATAGGAGAGAATAGAGTATCCTCGCCCCGGTTCATCACTGACACGCCTCACTGACCTTTTTGAAAGAGAGAGCTCCCCTCTTTCTTTTTCTTCAACATAAAGAAATGTGGTAGTAATAATGTGGTAACAATAATCATAATAATTAGTCATGTCGAAAGAACTTTTAATAGTGATTGAAAATGATTTCGGAGCGCCAATTGAGGGGCACATTTAAAAAAACCCTCTGTATCAGAATTAATCATTTTGGTTACACTGTCAATGTACGAATTCGTCGACGCCCTGTATAATAGCTGTAGACAAATAATATTTCCGGCCCCGTCTAAAAGACAATTTGAAATCCAACAGTGGATTATTCTATGAAAAATCGTGTTTCCGGTTCCTCCATTCGGACAGGGAGATATTAAATAGTATCATCTACTATGTTGCAATGTACTCGTACATTTTTATATTTTCTTTGGCCTGCAGAAGGTTTCAAGTTTTTTTTTATTTTTTCCACACAATATAACAGAATCACATGGATATGCAATATATACAAATTAAATAACAGATTATTTACCAAAGATACGAAAATGATACTCAAATAAATAATTTAAGATTGGCACAGTGGTGATACAAAGTGGAGGAGTCTATAAAAAAAAACATGGCTTGCATTTTATAGACCCCTTGAGAATTATAAGGTTACAAGTGCTCTGTAATATAATTAGAAAATATATGCATAAAAATGCTTAGGTAATCCTACACCCTATATCAATACCTTTAAAGGTGATGGGTACTATTAAAGCGTCCTTCTTGTACTGTACAGTTTCCCTATTCAATGTCAAGGAGAACCTATTATAAAACGACAACGTAGGTTTAGATGGAGAGCGGTACAAATCGATTTAGAAAGAAGGATCAATTAGACACTCGATTCCTCTTAACTTACCCCCACCCCCTACCAAACAGAAACGCGTATGCATATAGACACGGCAAAGAAGACAATCCATAATCTCCGAAGACAAAATGCCACAACCGCATCATGGTGATACCAAAGAGTTTGAACGCCTTACGAGTACGTGGACCATTGTCTTGTTTGTTTCCTTCCACAAATATGTTAGGCTGCCTACAATGTTTTCAAGTTGAAGCTCATTGTTCATCAGGCAACGTCTTATCTTGTTGATATAGTTCCATGGCATATTCTTTTAAAGAAGAAGCTTCTTAAATTTACATACCGGTATACCGCATTTTACGTTTTAGCCTCACATAATTATTGGTCATCGTTTCTATAGTATAATAAGATTGACCCCCACCCAAAATAAACACGGAAATGAATGTTGTAACATATTAGTAGTGCTAATTATTTGGAAAATGATTAATACTGGAATCATTTACAAAAATAGCTCAGACAATATCAAGTTTACCACCTTTTTCCTCCTCTTCCCCTCTCCCTCTACATCAAACTACAGCTATTTTCAGTATGCCGATATTATGCGACCGTCTGTGTGACTGACACTCCAACTGTACTGTATCCGTATCTGTATCTCTGTCTCTGTCTGCAATGGTCTACACATGGTCCTTGTCTCTTCCCAAACTTCTTATTAAACGTCTTGCTCGTTTCACTGTTGTTAGCAAGCTCTTAACTATACTAGCTTCTTAATTTACATATGCCGCATTTTACGTTTCAGCCTCAAAGATTGGTCATATTTTCTAGCTAAATAGGAGAGAACCTAAAGCCGTTGGTCCTCTGGTTGCTTACTAACAAGAAGTTATGCTTTCCTAGCAGTCAGGTAAAATATTTTTCATTACTTGCCCCCATACCACGCTTATTTTTCATCAGTCTCATGCTTTGATCTCCCTGTCGTCTCGTATTCATCTCAATCATCTTTGAAGTTGATGTTTCTGAGGCCTTTGATTTGTAACATTAAACAAAAATATTCCTTCTCTCTCTTTTTGTTCTTGGTGGAGAAGGTTTAAATCTAATTCAAGGCATTGTAGTCCTTCATAAAAATAAAAGGAAGTATCTTTACATTTGTCTTCCAATATCTTACATTAGTCTCATGTTTTGATCTCTGTCGTCTCGTATTCATCTCAATCATCTTTGCAGTTTTTGTTACTGAGGGAAAAGGCCTTTGATGTGTACCATTACAAAACAAAATCCCTCTCTCTTTTTTCTTTTAATTCAATTCACCGCACTGCAGTTCTTCAAAATATGAATAAAAGTAAAACGGAGTATCGTTACCTTTGTCTTCCAATATCTTACATTTACTGACATAAAGTTACGGGGGTAGTGGCTCATATTAATAATAATTGTTATACTATTTCTTTAAAATTACAAATAACAAATAAAATCTTCAACTCTCGATTCGGATATTTTCGTTAACCTATAGGAGCTGTTTGGAGTTGAGGCACTTATATATAATCCAGCGATTAACATTTACACGAGTCACTCGTATATAATTGGCAATATTTCCGTGCATATTAAAACGCAATGCTTTGGAAGGGACATTCATGCAGGATTTGAGTAGGTTCCGCCACACTCGTTTTGTACTTTATTCATATGAAACTATTTATATTTGAACACTATGTTACTGAAAATGAAATGCAGAAACATGTGTTAGAGACTCTTTTTAACCGTTTGTTAACTGTATTGCGAAACATAAATCTTTGTTCAGTTTATATACAGTTTGATCAATAAGTTCATTTTATTTACAATTCAATTTTTATTTCTATTGATGGAGAAACATCAAAAACATACGAAATAGGTAAATAAATTAAACATTGAATATTTAAATAAATAAATAGATAGATAAATAGATGGATAATCAAACAAATAAATAAATAAATAGATAAATAGATAGATGATTAGAAAAATAAATTAATAAATATGTAAATAAAACACTGAACAGATAAATAAATAAATAAATATGTAAATAAAACACTGAACAAATAGATAAATAAGAAATCAATTATAAGGAAGTAAATAAATAAATAAAACCCTCAAAAGGATGGGGGCGGTCTCATCTTTATTGCTCTGAATGAAAACTCGATCATATCTATCTATATAAAGTCTATATAAAGTCCTTTATGATAAAATTATATCAAATATGGAACGGGTTTGGACATTGTTTATTCCCTTTATGCATCCTTGGCCTGAGAATGTTCATTGTTTTCCTACATAGCGACAAACAACCATTGTGTTCCCCAACTCGTCATATCTCACTAATTGATCATATCCGACACAAGTTCAAACATGAGGGTATTTTTACTTTTTGGGAGCCCAATTATAGCTCCTGAAACCCTGCTTAAATCCCTCACAGAAGCACTACTCCAAAGACTCGATGACGTTTAGAATTTCTCAAGTTTGTCGACAAGGCCATTGCTAATTCCAGCGCTTTTTACTTAAGGTATTTTCAACATAATGCGCCAAGAGAGGGATTATCTTAGTTAAACTGACAACAAATCATTATCTACTAGAA